AATAATAATAATAATAATGTGTGCCATCAATTCTGACATGGCAATCCTTTTTAGGAATTTGTAGGTCGAAACTACTCAGAAATACCATCTTACCATCCCCTTCTTTTGGAGATGCCCTTGGACTGTGCAGCTTGCCCAAGGCTGCACAGTCTGGCTGTATTTGCAGGAGGCACTTCCAAACTCTGGCTCTGCAACCAGATGCATGGCTCACTGAGCCTGCCAGGGTGGAGAAATTCTTGAAGGCCAGCTACTGGGCAGCAGCAATAGTGGAAAGTCATTCTGGAAAATGATTGTTCCCAGACAATGGAAGTGACACTACAGCTTACTCATAGTGAAAGCCCTATGTTGAAAATTAAATAAGTAGTTTCCCAGGTAGATTTGTTTCCCAGGTCAGAAGGAGTAAATCAGTTACTGGAGGAGATAAAAGAATGAAATGAATACTGTTGTTGCTAATGAAGCAAAAAGGGCAACTAGTTGCCAATGTGCAGAGGCAGAAGGAAAGTCTGATACTGCCTGACACTTCTAACTGGAACACGCAATGTGAGAAGTATGACTCAAGCTAAGCCTGAAACCACAAAATGAGAAATGGAATATTAAAAACATTGCAATACTTAAGTTGAATAAACTAAAGGGGACAATTTCAATAAGAAAATCACAAAGTGCTCTCTCTGGAATCTGTAACTTCAGAAACAATGATGTGGCTCAAATAGTAAAGTGAGATGAAGCACAAATTGTTAGGAGTTATAATACAAAGTATGACCTAATAAGCTCAGTAAGACATTATAAGAAACCTATGAACGTAATCATAATTCAAGTTAAGCTCCAACTACAGATGCTGATTAAAAAAATAGAAAAAAATACTGCAGTATGTAAGTACCCAGGATGAAATTGATTTCACACCAAAACAAAATAGGCTATTAATAATGGATGACTGGAATGCAAAAATAGGAAGTAAAGCAGAATCAAATATTTTTTAGTGAATTTGGCTTAGGGATCAGCAATAAAGCAAGTGACTGACTTATGGAATTCCATTCAGTCAACAACTTGTTTATCAAAGAAATGTTTCAGGCAACACAACAGACAATTATACTTACGGATTTAACCAGTGTGATTGGGTTCTTTTGAAAGAGGGGGCAGACCTGGTGTTCCGGCGGGAAGAACTGACAGAGACGAAGCAATGGTGCAAAACAAGGTTGTTTACTGTCCTTAACTCCAGGAATTCCCAAACCCAAAGGATCTAACATTTCCACCTCCGGCAACAGCTTATAACTTTTAACTTTAACATTCACAACATTTCTGGTTTCTTTTACATTTCCTTCATTCCATGCATAGAGCTGGTTATTTGGCTTTGTAACGGCGCGCTCAACACTGCACAAGCCGTTCGGCAACATGGGTGTACCACTCGGGTTCCCTCCAACCTGGGGAGATAGGGACTGGTACCATAAGGGATCTCCTCCTTCCCCAAACCCAGAATAGGAGATGTTACTTCCCATCTCCATCTCTCACTCTGCTCACTGATCACCATAGGGTGTTGATCAGGTGGGGTGGGCAGCAGTCCTCTTCCCGTCATCAAGTTAGGAAAATCCTTTACCAGTTTCGCGATCCTATCTCTTTGTTCTCCAGTCTCATCTGTCTGCACACTTCTCTCCCTCAGTTCCTTCTGCTCACCTCCCTCTTCACCCTCCTCTTTTATATCCTCCCATCTTCCTCCTTCTAACTCCTCCTTTGCCTGCCTCTGTTTCTCTTCCGCTAGAAACACTTCCACTGCTTGTGACTCCAGTTCCTTCATCGTCCAACTTTATCAGTTCCCCTACTGCACAATCTTTGTGTTCTTTCTTCGGTTCCTTCATGCAGGATGGCACACTTCTGTTTTCCTGTTCACAACCAGCTAACCAATAAAGGAATAAGATAGGCTAGATAATAGAAAATAGAAGGTGGACCAGCTCTACAGTGAACCCTTGATTTATGGGATTAATCCGTATTGGAACGGTGGCCGCAGGTCGAAAATTCAGTAGATCGAGTGTCCATTTCCCATACGAATCCATTGAAAATGATTTAATCCGTTCCAGCCAAAGAAAACAAATTCTGGGCTTCCAAAGCTGCATCTGCTGCCCTCTGCCTTCTGTCTCCACTGCCCTCTGCTTCCCATCCCTGCAGGGACAGGAGGCAGAGGGCACCGGGGACAGGAGGCAGAGGGTGCAGCTTTGGAAGCCCGGGAAGCCGAAAGCCGCTCTGCACCCACTGCCAGCTTTCAGGGCTTAGAAAGCTGCACCCACTGCCCTTTTGTCTCCTGTCTCTGGTGCCCTCTGCCTCAGGCAAGAGGGCAGCAGGGGCTGCTTTGAATTTCCTGCTAGTTATCAGCTAGATGCTACTAAATGTAATCCCATCTGCTTTCTACATGCATAACAAAACAATATGATTTCAACTGTAACATCAAAAAATAATTAAACATATTAAAATATCACTAATTTAAAAACATAAATACACATCAAAGCAGTAAAATGCACAGATAAAGAATGAACATATAGATTTGATTTCTTTTTTACATTAAGCTGCTTTGAAGTTTTAGGAATCTCGCTCTCTATCTCCTCAGCAAAAAAGCAAACAAAACAAAACAGAATACAAAAAGCAATCCTGCACTACACATTCATTTGCAAACTTGCTGGATCTTTCAACACTTAATAATGTTCAAACCTATTTTGCAGGAATGGATATAAGAAGTGCTAGTTATTTGAAAGTTTATGCAGTAGATCTAGTTGTTCACTATTCTCTGTTGTAAATATTAAAGAAGTCGTCTCAATGAAACATTTTTTTCTTGCTGAGCATAGAAAGCATGTGGGACACACAGGTAATGTGGGGTCAAACAGGTAATGGAACATAAATAGTGAGTGGTTTAGTTTTCATTCGTTTTTTCCAATGGCAGACTTGAGACTGGAGGCAATGAAGCCACTCTCATATGTTTTCTATACAAATACTTTGTCATCTGCCATCAGAGAATCCTGGCTATGAATCAAAGCTCAATATTCTGTTGTTCCCAGTTTGTCCCATGCATGATTCCACTTCTTGTGCAAAGAGAAATCCACCAATCTCTTGTGCAAGTGGAAGCCCGATTAAAAGCAATGGATGATGTCTGGCTTTCTTAGCTAAAAGCTGAAGATCAGGAAGGGGACTCGAGGAAAACTCCACAAAAAATAAACTAGTAACTAGGCGAATAATTAGCTAAGTAATTGTTATTTTTCATGAAGAGCTTATTGATAGAACAATGTTTAAAGCCAACTTTATTTAATTTCTATACTGCCCATCTGACCAATGGTCACTCTGGGCAGTTCACAGCAAAAACAGTGAAATGAAAGAAAAATAAGGGTTACTTACCATGGTTCTTCAAGTGGTACTCTGTGAATTCACACAAGTGGGTTGTTGCGCCTGCGCAGGAATTCCTCAGAATCTTCTAGAGCTTAAACAAAAAAGAGATTAGAAAGACGTTACCCCTACAGCGCATGCTCTGCCCGCCTCAACCCTCAGTTCCATTTTATTCGCCACAAACCATGCTCACTGTAGAGCACTGATCAAGTAGTGACAGAAAGAGGGGAGGAGGGTGGGTATGTGTGAATTCACAAAGTACCACTTGAAGAACCATGGTTACAGGTAAGTAACCTTTCTTTCTTCATTGTGGACTCTGTGAATGCACACAAGTGGGTGACTGACAAGCTCGCTTACCGGATGGAGGGCCGTCACTCCAGGACAGATGTCAGGACAGCTCTTCCAAAGGCAGCATTCTTCTTGGTTCTAAGGTCCAACTGATAGTGTGTGATAAAGGTGGACGCAGTAGACCAAGTTGCTGCCCAGCAGATGTCCGGAATGTCCACTCCTCTCAGCGACGCGGTGGATGTCGCCATGGCTCTGGTAGAATGAGCCTTGAGTCCCTCTGGAGGGTTCCTGCCAAGTAGTTGATACGTCAAGGAAATAGTAGACACAATTCACCTGGACAGGGTGGACGAGGCAGCAGCAGAGCCCTTGTGTGAACCATAGAAATAGAGAAACAGTTTGACTGATTTACGGAAATCTTTTGTCCTCGTTGTATAGTACGCCAATGCTCTCCTAACGTCCAGGGAGTGAAGCACACATTCCACATCAGTAGATGGGTCGGGGAACAGAGTTGGCAAAGAAATGGGTTGATTAAGGTGAAAGCTAGACATGACCTTTGGTAGAAAAGATGCGTTCGGGTAAAGAGCCACCTTATCTTGGAAGAACTGCAAGTATGGAGGGCCGTGACATAAAGCTGCAAGTTTGCTTTCCCTTCTAGCCGACTTAATGGCTACCAGAAAAAGAATCTTAAACAACAAAAGTCTGACATCTGATGTAGCCATGGGCTCAAATGGAGGTCTTGTGAGAGCTTGAAGTACCGAACGTAAAGACCACTGAGGCAAAGGTGACTTCAGGGGTGGTCTCAAGTGCAGGACTCCTTTAAGGAAGGCCTTAACAGTCGGGTGCGAAAAAAGTTGTGTCGACTCAGAGTCCCTGAGCTGAAAGGAGACAATTGCTGACACATAAACTTTTAAGGTGGAAAGGGCTAAACCTTGGTCGAACAAGTAACGCAAACACAATAACAATGTGTTAAGTGAAACTGGTAACGGTTGTAAATTTCTTGCTGCTGCAAA